AGACAATGCTTCTAGATTTTCATTTTTATTTATTTATTTTGGTATTGAAGCAAGTAAGAGGCTGTATTGAGGTTAAAAATTTGACAAATCATGGTCTGATGGTCAAGATATTGTATGTTGATCTATATTTATTATATAATATATATATATTATATATTTTTACTTACCATATGCTGCCTTGTGTCCCTGACTCTCACCGTGTCTAACAGCAGAGAATTTCTTGGTATTCCCAGTCCCAGTGATGAACGGGTCATTAGAAACATACCCCCTGTTGTTGCGGGAGTACTTAGGGACGTATGTCTGACAGGCGATGCAGTAAATCTGCAGAGTGCCTTTGCCATCACGGGAGGTTTGGAGCCAGTCAATCTCCCAAGATTTCACGGTTGCTTCCTTTGAAACTGGCTTCTTCTTTTTATTTGGAGGGGGGCCCGACTGCGTTGGACTGACAGCGTCCTTGATGTTATCTGGTACATTTGAGCTGCCAGCTAGATTCAAAAAACGATCCATGTTGTAACGTTGTTGTGATTAGCTAGATAGCTAGCTTGCGTACTCTGCGTGTAGTGTACGCATACGTACGTACGGTATGTGTGCATGTATTTGTGTAGATACAGTGTGTGTGTACGTGACTACGTGTACGTGTGAGCCGCGATAGCTAGCCTAGAACAATACGCGAACAATAGTTACAATACAATGCGCGTGACCGCTGCAATATGGTGTGATGCGATGTATGCGTACACGTAATCAGGGGTCGAAATTAGATTTTTATTATGGTATCCATTCGGGATGTACCAGGTATTGAGAAATCTGGTATCCCCCCCCCCCAGAGATCTGGTATCCCATTTTTTGGATAGTAATTTCAACAATGTTGGTATCCAAAATCTGAGGCAGCAGATTGTATAATAAAATTCACCCCACGTCATAAAATTGCCAAATGTTCCGTGTTTGCCTTCAAAATTCTCATCGCTCGCGTTCATATTACCAGGAGTCTATCAATTCAATATATTGATAGACTCCTGATATTAGATACGCCTCCACAGTACACTGCAGACGTATTGTCTAGACGCATTGTCTGGTTCGCTTGATATACAATGTATACACGATCACATTCTGGTATCCAACACAAGAATCTACTATGCCGCGGATATCGGGATACCGCCCGGCCAAGTCGTAGTTTGGGTCTCGTATGCGAGAGAACTTTACGCGTAAAAATATGATAATATTCGAGTCTTCTGCAAGCGAATGCGTGTCGTTTCTGTTTTAGTTTCTATTTGTGTTCGTGGAACGGTTAGCATTCGTCATTGGTCCAGTGCATTGTAGCGCGCAGTGGAATAAATCGATATCATAACACACGCAGCTCTGCGTTCCTACGTACGTGCCACGAAAACAATATCCTCCGCGGCACTGCGGAGAGTAACCACTTGTACTTCGTCGAGTAGACGTGTTTGTATGGTTAGCCTGTGTTGTGACTAGCGTGTATTTTGTGTGCGTGTTGACAGTATTGTGAGTAGCGGCGTTGTATTTTACGTGTGGAGCTTTATTTCGATATTAGTTCAATAAAGTGTAGTTTATTGATGGAAAAACAGTGATTTTCGCCAGCGAGGCGGTGTTTTGGATAAATTTCTGCGTGGCGGCTGAGAATTTGAGCGAGGCGGCCGCCTAGCTCGCGTCAATGCAGAGGAAACACTGCGTGCATGCATATATATGCGGGAATGCTGCGATTGCGATCGCGAACGGTTGGCTGGCAGGTCAAGCGTACATAATCGCTATTGCAACTGCATAACCGAGACAGGCATTGGGGGTTTTGCAGCAGTTTTTGCAGCTGCGGCTGGTGTGACCAGTGATAATGCCTCGACTTCGAGGCAGGCAATTTCGGGGGCGATTTCGATTGTAACTGTCGCCCCCGTAATAACATTTTCGGGGGCTCTTTTTGGAACTTCGGGGGCGATTTCGCCCGCCGCCCCCGTGTATTTTTTTCACTGAATCATAATATGTTTATAGCAGGAATTTTGCATTAAAGATATTGTCAATGAAATCTTGTAAAACGAACCAGACGAGTGTGACACCACAGACTGTTTGTTATCTGCGTGTCTATATAATATGCTATATATTTTGCATAATTTATTTTAAATATCAAAACCCCTAGAGCCATGCAATAGCCATGATTATAACACTGAGTTTTGACTTCACAAGTACAGGCCACATCTGTGTATATTCGTTCCTGAATTTCTGTAAAAGTCGGGTTTTTTAGATGGCAATGGCAATTGGACGCCATTCTCCCCACGTGTTAATCTGATTAGCAGACAAACTACGCGACACCTTGCAGACAGCGCCTGTCTGACTAGGCTGTTCCATTTACCGTAGACATGCCAGATACAAAATGCATAGAAACACATTATAACACTGAGCGATGGTAGGGTGGGCGCAAAACTAATGGCAGAGCGTGCATTTCCATGAAACGACTCGCGCAGTCACGGCTATTAATAAACTCGGGGCCAGTGCCAGGCACCGGCTGAAAAAAAAACAATGTGTCCAAGCGAACAATGCGAACAATCAGTGCAACTGAAATGAGGAATATAACCTTGCCGCTGCGGAGTGCGGAAATTAAGCCTAGAAATCGTAATGATTCCGCAGAATGCGGAATGGTTGGAGACCCTGGGATACCCAAGTTTTGGACTGTCACGGCACCAAAATGTAAACAGGGATGAGCGTTCATGTAGAAATGATGAAGTAGATCCAAATCCAGAACTTGTGTAGTAAACTGTATAACCTTTAATATCTTACACACATCACATCTCCTTAAGGCCCAATCACACCAGAGCTACGCTCATCACGATCGCCCCGTCCTCCAAAAATTGGCCCGAGCATGGTGAGCGTGGTTGAGAGTGTGGCCAATTGGGCCCCAGCCGGGCCCAGCGCCGATACTACGATGTAATTACGTCCATACTACGATCTAAGTGCGTCTTTACCCCGATGTCATTGCGCTCAACAAGCTTTCACCACGCTCAACACCACGCCCACATCACGCTTGCACCGCGCGGACTGCGTCTTTATTGCGACCAATCAGATCATGTTGCATTCGAACGACGCTTGCACTGCGCCTTAGCAACGCTCACCGCGCCTCAACTGCGCGCCAATCACGCGCCGACTGCGCTGGCAACGATCATATAAATACCGCGTCGCGTTCTATACATCATCATTCATTCTGCCGTGCTGTCAAGATAAACATCAAGATAATTAAGATCAACATTATCGACTTAAATCAAGATTAACATCAAGATTATTTTCTACGGACACAACTATGCCGCCAAAAGACAAGGGGAGAGCCAGCAAGATCGTTGTTGTCTTCTATTTCTCCTCCTCGTCCTCCTCAGCATGATGAGGGCTTGGCAATCAAGTAGTTCGAGTTGTCCTTCTACGAGAAACATGGCATGGAGTAGTGTTGCCTCATCCATAGTGGACACTGAATTGGTGGGGTGGCCAGGGTAGCACCCCAAATTATACCCCAAGTTTGCAGGACGTGATCTGAGCGTAACTAACACGTAATGCGAACGCCACAACGGCGTAGTCTGAGCGTGTTGGGCGTAGTACAATCGTAGTACGAACGAGTCGAGCTTGCTAGAGACGCACCATGGTCATAGCGAGAGCGTGGTCAGGTCGCAGAGACATCTCCATGGACGTAGTAAAAGCGTGATGGAAACGTATTGACATCGTGCTGAGAACGGGGCGACAATTTTCACGCACCCGCCACGCTTGCGATACGACCATTAAGTTCGTACTACGCTCGAGTTACGTGGGTACTACGCCTTCCACGTCTCTAATACGCCCGCACTGCGCTGTATTTCCGCCACGCTTGCACCACGATTATTTTGAACATGTTCAAAGTTTGGCCACGCTCTCCACGCTCATGCTGACTGCACCGCGCTCGATCACGATCGCAGTACGTCCATATACGTCCACACTGCGTTCTACGCGTTTCCACCACGCTCTTAGAGCGTAGTACGAGCGTAGCGAGATCGGGGCCCTGGTGTGACTGGGGTATTACACACAGACAAAGACCCGCGCACACGCGCGTGCGCGTACTCTCGCGACCAGAACCTGAATCCTCTCTACTCTTACATCCTCTCTATATATTCTCCCAAAACTCCTACAAACCACATGCACCACGCACATGTACCCGTTCTCCCAGACCACGTCCTACCCCCATTTCACACTGACCCTAGAAACTGCCTAACCTAAAACCCGCTTAATGGGAGCATAGCAGTAACAACTATACCCAATTTCAAACATGTGGGTCAAACGGTTCCTGAGTTATCGTTGACCGTAGCCAAATGTTGACGGACGACGACCCATGGCAATAGCTCAGCTTGACGATGTCAAGGTGAGCTAAAAATGTATTCAACTAAACTGAAAAGGTAGCATTAGAAGAATTACCAGTATCAAGCATTTGTTGCTACCCTTTTTATTTTCTTCACAAACTTAACAATTCTACTTTTTGTGTGACTCGCGTTGACACATTTTGAGGATGTTTTCATCATATAAATTTCAGGAAATGCTAATGCGAATTGTTAGGCATCCTAATTTTTTATGAAATATGATATACTGGCTACTTAATAAAGGCTGGCTTATTCATAACTGAAGCTTTAGATAATAGAAAAATTTTCTGATTCTGAAAAAACACTTTTAACCACCTTTGCCGTCATTAAGCTTACCCACGATCAAGAAGCTGTGATTCTTTAATAAAAAGGCCCATTTACATGAAATTTTGGATTTAAACCATTTCATTATTTCTCTTAATAAACAAAAAATTCATGTCACTAGCTCTCACTTCAGTTTTCCACTTACGTGGAATGGCTGTTATGTTCATTCTACACTACTAAAATTTTACCTATGCACTAGCTATGCCACTCGAATTTTACCTACACACCATGCTATATCATTTCAATTTTTCAAGTCTTATTTAATGATGTAGCTAGGCCACCAGTGGCCACCTCGTGACTCACTTATTAGTTGTTCAGCAATCGTGGCAGCATCACCATCATCGTTGCTCGATAAACCTGCGCTGACATCTCGGTACAGCTTCTGTGCAGCAGCGTGAGCAGCCTGGTCAGCCTCTGACTGCTGCTTCACCTTGTTATAACCATCCATGAGTTTATCCATCTCCTTCATCTTTGCCTGCTTGCTGCTCGTATCCTGTAACGTTAGTCAGGGTAGGGCACACGTCCAACACCACGTCCAGGCTCGAAAGTACGTCGACTGGCGTGCTTCAAAATAGGACGTTTAATATGGGAGCATAGCAGTAACAACTATACCCAATTTCAAACATGTGAGTCAAACGGTTCCTGAGTTATCGTTGACCGAAGCGAAATGTTGACGGACGGACGGACGTACGACGACCCATGGCAATAGCTCAGCTTGACTGACTCAAGGTGAGCTAATAAACGTGTTGTATCCTACCTCAGTCTGCTGCTTAAGTAGATCCTTCCTCTTCTTCTGCTCCGTCTTCAATGACTCCTTCTTGCTGTCGATACTGCTCTGCTGCTTAGCTTCATGCTGTCTCTTGTCATGTAATCTCTTCTCTAGTTCTGCTATCACGCCACCAGATTCCTGCAAAAAAATAGTGCAGTGGCGCCATCTATCACACATTTCAGCTATACAAAACAATATCATCATATAATACAAATTCCTACTACCAACAACCGGATGCAGCCAATGTCCTACATCACCTTCTATTCAACACTGGGGGTAAAAACATCTAAACAATCACAAAATGCACATTTGATATTAAAAATGGTCTCCGGCACTGTGGCAGTATGCTGCCAACTGGTGGTGAGCGGGGTCCAAATAGCAGGCAAACGTACCGCATCTCTTTTCTCGGTCAGCTCAGCAACCAGTTCTTCTAGCTTTTCCAGGTGTGCGTCGATCTCGCACTTTCGCTGCTCAAACTGCGTGATCATCACTGTCAGTTCGTTAAGCTTCTCCGCCGAGCCGTGCCGCTGCTCCTATTTCACAGAGAGGCACGGCACATGTATCGTAACGTCAGGGGTAGAAATGAACTTGTGAACAAGGGAGTCCAACGGACACCTTGCCCTCACAAAGAGGGAGTCCGCAGCAAAATGAGGGAGTCCGCAGTCTGAAGTTCAAAACTAAAGATATTAACAATAATGCATACATGTGCTTATTTTGAAGATTCATGCGGTTGCACGTCTGCCAAATTTTCTTTGGACATTTGCCGAAAAAAACATGGTAATTCCGCAAGGCCGTGCTCTGGAACAAACTAGTTAGTATAGCAGAATTTTCAGGGAGTCCCACGGACTCCTGCATATATGTCAAATCAGGGAGTCTGGCAGTAAATCAGGGAGTATTTGACTCCGGACTCGCGTTAAGTTCGCACCCTGTAACGTCTTTGGGGCAACTTGGCAAGTTGGTGGGGGCATGAATACGAACATTTCCTATGAAAAAGGGTTACCATACCAAGGCGACCCAATTTTTAACAACACGTTTCAAGTGTGAAAGTGGTCATATATGTACATAAACCAGGTAGAAATTATGGGATAGACAGGGAGGCATACCAGGTAGGGCAGCTGTAAACAGGGATGAGCGTTCATGTAGAAATGATGAAGTAGATTCAAATCCAGAACTGTATAACCTTTAATATCTTACACACATCACATCTCCTTACAAACAGACAAAGACCCGCGCACACGCGTGCGTACTCTCGCGACCAGAACCTGAATCCTCTCTACTCTTACATCCTCTCTATATATTCCCCCAAAACTCCTACAAACCACATGCACCACGCACATGTACCCGTTCTCCCAGACCGCGTCTTACCCCCATTTCACAATGACCCTAGAAACTGCCTAACTTAAAACCCAGCTTATTCGCAACTCTGTAACATCATACTGCAAGCCAGCCCATTATGCGCGACGTCTGCCGTCTACCCGCAGACCAACTTGTCACTCAAAACAACCCTAGTCTATAGCCCTCGCTGACTACCTTCAGAAACAAGTGCAAAAAACAGTGTCACATTCTTCCCTTTTCCCAAAACGAAATACTACCCCGTTCAATCCGATTTCAGTCGTCTCCGCTGATCTACCACTTTAAACCTCAACCTAACCAAATTCCCAAAGAAAAAATTACTACCGGGCTAATATCTTTCAAACGTTCAACCCAACGAGAGAAACGATCCTTTCTGTCATTAAACAACCCCAAATCAATAACCTACAATAACAACAATTCAAAATAGCAATAATAAAAACACATATAAACCGTAAAAAACAAGTAACGGATAAAGTTCGATCCACAAATACAACATCCCAGAAACTCAACACAATTGGGCAGTAAAACATTCGCGATAGTCGATGCAATACTCTCACTCTTAGCGTCTTTTTTAGTGCTGTAACGTACGTGGCGTAATTCGTGTACCCTACACGCATCTTAACCGAAACCGACGTTTCCACCAATTGTGCTTCCATTTATACCAGGATTCTGATTTAAATCCCTCATAAATCATATCCCCAACTCACAACAGGCAGGCTAATTTAATAAATGACTACAGCACTGATTTGCTGGTACTTTTTGTCAAACTTTCCACACGCATCTATACAGCCCAAAGAAAAACATCATCATACATCATGCCTATCATACATTCATACAAGCCAATCAATAAATTATCGCGCGAAACTGATTCATGAGTTCGATGTGTTTTAGGCCCTATAATCAAACTCCCAATTGAAGAACGTGTTTAGCGCGTCCTGACATATAAGTGTAATAACGTCACCGTCACGGTTAGCGACCAAATTCAAGAAAATCGATCACTAAATTTTTAAATACAAAGTTCAACGAAAAAGAAATTTCCACACGATCTGCGGCCAAAAACAGGTCGCCCCACATAGCATATATCATTGAAAATATAACAAAAATAATCCTGCGTACATAAATACAAACCATAAACATACATAACATACCATACAATTGCATTAACAACAATGTCAGTAAGCTTGTGAAACAACTGTAATCGGACCTTCATTATATAAATATGTTCCACTCCCTCAATAAAGCCCTAATAAGCATCTCAAAACAACTTAACATGCACCTTTTTGATTAAAGGGATAAACACATGTGCAATGGTAATACCCGCAACAGCTTTGAGTAAATGTCCAACTAAATCTACCTTTTAATAATACTCCCGGGTTTTTGAACTATCGTTTTTTTCTAACTTTACTTACGATTATATCCAGACACACGTTTTGTTTCACTCAACCGCATTAAGTATTTACCACTGCGCTTTATCCTGCGTTCTTGTTCCTTTCGGCCTTGCTTCGTGCCAACTTCTCCATCTCACTGTTGAGCAATCCTTTGCGACCGGCCGCCGACAACGGTCCTCCTCTCCAGTTACGATTCTCCTCAGCCAATTCCTTTGTCGCCATCGTCATCGTTCGTCGCTAAAGCGCATCTCCGGCTCCCATGCCATCACAGAAACTTCGCGCGTCTTTCCGTCCCTCTTTCTCCTCTCTCGGCTCTCCGCAATCTTCATCTGTTCTTTGTGCTGGCACCGATATATCTGATATACTTGGTTCGGCTTAGACCTCTCCGGCCATTCGTCTATCTGAACGCTCTCATTGTCCGCCTTCTCTCCTCTCCCTCGCTCTCCTCGTCAATTCCTGTACTCTGTTTGCGTTACTTGCTGCCGATATCGATAGTAAATAAGAGTATAACTTGCGTGTGTCCCGCAAAGGGATACCATTTCCTCCAACCCTGCGTGAACCCAAATCGGAATATAAATTGATTGACGCAGCGGAGGGGGGGAATTAACCTTGGCTGCCAACTGGGCAGGCCCGAGCGTGTCGAGGCTATGCCCTAAGGTTCTAGTGTTGTGGTGCTATGCTCCCGCAGAAAATTTTGAAATATTATAAGCCATTTTCCTGGCAATATGGATGCTAATACTTGTGTGCCCATATTCCTCATGTCTGTATGACACTTATCTCACCCTATACTTTAAACCTCTTACAATAGGATTCCAAACATTTTTTCATAACTTTTCAGAGAGCCATAACACAGTTAGGTTTACTATAGTAATAATACATGTATTAAAAGCACAGGTAGAAATTGCAATTCTCCACAAATTCAACAGTTTTTGTATTTGCAACAATACTTTTTTGCGTATTGTGAGTCCTGGAAACATTTCTTGAAATAGTTCATTTGCCGATTGTCTGCCGCCCCTCAAATGTAGGCAATGTGTTTTCAATTATAATAACCGTTAATCGTACACTTCTTGCGTGAAGAAAGACTCTTATCTGCTGCATGAATGATAGCTTGACAGTTCTTCAGTGCCGGGATAGTCCCGCGCGAACGCTCAAAAGTACGCCGCTATCGGGCCGCATTGTTTAGACGAATTTCGCTTGCCTATTTTCTTTCCAACCCAGTAAACCGTATAGACCTTTAGGGTTTATAGGAAACTCATGCTTTCGCTAGCTCTCATCGCAAAATTCCTGCGCATTGCACGAGGGGAATCGCACTAGCCTCAGGTAGTAGAGCCACGGCGTGGCTAGAAAGATGCTCTCAATCTTGTTCGGCGTACTAGGCGCCCTTTCCTTTGCTTGTAATGAACGAGTTTTTGTTCAGAGCGATTGTAACAATATATATAGCGCTGATGGCGTCTTGGCGTTGAGGCACGCGCTGACTTAGAGATACGATATATATGCGGCAACCGTAGCTGTAATGGAACCATTGGCTACGATTTTGTCGGGTTCGCTGTGGCTCGGGTGCCCGGCTATTTATTAAACTTTAGACTTGTTAACATTCCAGCACCTACGAAATACTCATATGACTTACAAAGTACATGTTACGAATAATTACATAATTAAGTACTAACTACTAAGTATAGTACTACGTAAATTACCCAACATATATCTATTAACTCATAGATACGTTACTTTACTAGAATCGGCTATAGAAGCTAAAATTGGAATAGTAAATTAGTAATACTAATTAAACTACTACTAGTTACGTATGTACACACGTACTAGTACTATTACTACTACTACTACTAACTCCAAGTAAACGCTCTTGCTAGGTTAGAATACCCGCCATACTAAACACTAGCATTGAAGCGTTTCAAATAAAATGATAATGCTAACATTAAATACGAAATCTATAATATTAAACTGACCAAAGTGCTTAATGTTTCTAGTATGATCGGCCTACTCTTCTTTCGAGAAGCTGCGAGGTTGCAAAAAGGCAATAAGAACTAGGACTTCGCTCCACCTCGACTAGCCATCCGAGTGAAACTAAGCTAAGCCGAGAGTGGAAGCGATTTTAGTGCCAAGTCTATAATGCGGCTATATAAAATGGCGGCCGCAAGCGGCGCAATGCTTTGCAACTCACTGTACGAGCCTCGCCAATTGAGCATACCGTCAAAACGTTCCAGCGTTGGCCAAAACAATCAGTCACGAAGAATGCGCCGGCTTAGTGTGTTTCCCTAATTCCTGAACTACCAATTTTCCACTTACTTGGCAAAGTTCCCGCGAATGTCAGAATTTCTACAGCTATTCTGTGTACTTCGCGTTACAGTCAGTCTCGGTTTTTACGAGACACATTACAACGTTACAGTTTTTATAACAATTTAAACACTGTCACAGCGTTCCAAATTCCTGCCCTCTGTGTCCCCGTCACAAAAAGCGGACTGTGTCGCTGGCACATGGATTCGTGCGCCGCCCTGCATTCGCCTACGATCCATAGTCTTGCCAGTGCTGTGCATACGTCCGTAGAATTTTCCGAGCGTCCGCTGTGCGCCTGCCGCGAAGATCTGCGCGCAACGATCGCCTCGATCTTCGATAAACACCGCTCCTTCGCAAACGCTTCTCTAGTAATCCCGTCATCTGGATAAATTGTGTGTAGATTCACTTAACAACCCGCATTAGCACTTAAGATGCTCGTTGAGTAGACTATACTCTTTAGCAAGTCACCGTCCTTCTCCGTGCCCCATCTTGAAGTTCTGTCTTAGCCATGCAATAGCCATGATATCAACTAGCTGAGGTTTTGGACATCTACAAAGTACGGCCCAGCATTCTCTGTGTATATTCGTTCCTGAATCTGAAAAATCGGGTTTTTAGATGCAAATGGGCAATTGGACGCCCATCCTCTCCCACGTGTTAAATGCCTGATTAACTTAGTACAAACTACGCGACACTCAGCCCTTGCAGACAGCGCCTGTCGACAGGCTTTCCATTTACCGTGATGACATGCCCAGAAAGACATAAAATGCATAGAAACTACATTATTATCACACTGAGCGATTGGAAAGGTGGGCCGCAAAACTAAAGGCAGAAGCGTATTGCATTTCATGAAACAGACCTCGCTGCATCAAACGGCCTATTAAAAACCTCGGGCCCAGTGCCAGGGCACCGCTGAAAAAAAAACAATGTGTCCAAGGCGAAACAAATGCGACAATCAGTGCAAACTTGAAATTGAGGAATAAAACCTTGGCCGCTAGCGGAAGATGCGGCAAATTAAGCCTAGAAATGTAATGAATTTCCGCAAAGAATGCGAATGGTTGAGACCCTGGATACCCCAAAGTTTTGGACTGTCACGCAACCAAAATGTAAAACAGGTCGAGACGTTCATAGTAGAAGATAAAGTGAAATCAAATCCAAACTTGTGTAGTTAAACTGTAATAACCTTTAATATCTACACACATCACATCTCCTTAAGGCCCAATCCACACCAGAGCTACGCTTCATTATATTCACGATCGCCGCCCGTCCTCGCAAAAAATTGCCCGAAGCATGTTGATCGGGTTTAAGAGGTGGGCCAATTGGCCCAGCAGTCCGGGCCCATCGCCGATAACTACGAAAATTAACGTCCATATCTACGATCTACAGTGCGTCTTTACATCACCGAGTCATTCGCGCTCAAACCAAGCCTATCACAGCACGGCTCAACCACCACGCCCACATCATAACGCTTGCCAAACCGGCGCGACTGCGTCCTTTATGCGACCGTAACAGATTCAATTTTGCATTCGAAACGACGCTTGCACTGCCCTTAGCAACGCTTCACTCGCGCCTCAACCTGCGCCTCAATCACTGCCCGTACTGCGCTGGCAAAGATCACTAAAAATATCAGCGGCGTCGCGTTCTATTACACATCCATTCATTCTGCCGTGCGTCAAAATAATACATCAAGAAATTAAGATCACCACTATCGGACTTCAATCAAGATAACATCAAGATTATTCTAACGGACACCAACATCCGCCAAATAGAACAAGGGAGAGCCCAGCAAGAACGTTTCGTTTGTCTCTATTCTCACCTCGCTCTCCTCCTCAGCCATGATAGGCTATTGGCAAATCATAGTTCGAGTTCCGTCCTACAAGAAAACAAATGGCATTTTGAGTATGTGCTCATCCATAGTGACACTGAATTGTGCGGGTTGGCCAGGTAGCAAAAACCCCAACATTATAACCCCAAGTTGCAAGAACGTGAAATCTGACGTGTAACTAACACGTAATGCGAACGCCAAAAGCGTAGTCTGACGTTGGGCTATGTGACAATCGAGTAACAAACTTGAGTCGAGCTTTGCTTAGAAGACGCACCATGGTCATAGCGAAGCGTGGTCAGGTCGCCAGAGACATCTCCATAATAGACTAGTAAAAATCGTGCATGAAACGTATCTGACAGTCGTCGCCCTGAGAACGGGCGACAATTTTCACAGCCATCCCCGACGCTTGAGCCGATATTCGACATAATTCGTACTACGCATCGATTTAACGTGGTAACTGACGCCTTCTCCACGTCTCTAATACGACCCTGCACTGCGCTGTATTTTCCGCTCACGCATTGCACCATCGATTAATTTGGAACAGTTTTCAAAAGTTTGGCCACCTCTCGCACGCTCATGAGCCTGACTCACCGCGCTTCGATCAACGATCGCCAGTAGCGTCCATATACGGTCCACTTCCTCGTCTACCCGGTTCCACACTGCTCCTTTAGAGCGTAGTACGAGCGTAAAGCGAGATCGGGGCCCTGGTTACTGGGTAATTACACATCAGACATAAGAAACCCCGCACTACTCGCAGTTGCGCGTACCTCCGCGAACTAGAACTGAATTCCCTCTATCTTGCTACTCTTTCTACACCTCTTCTAAAATCTCGCTCCCCAAAACCCCTAGCAGAAACATACAATGCACACGCTAACAATTTAACCCGTCTCACAGAACTAACGTCCTAGACCAGCCCCCGGCGCCCCATTCACACTGACCCTAAAAACTGCTAACCTAAAACCCGCTTATCCAACTCCATTTAACATTCAATGCAGCCGCCCAATATGCGCGACGCTTGCGTCTACGCAGACTTAACTGTTTCAACAAGATTAATCAAAACACCCTAGTCTATAGTAAGTCCAAAACTGAAAATCGCTGGAAGTTCGTGAAATCACGGACAAAACGCGAAGGTTTTGAAGAAGAAAAAAAAACCATCCAAAAATTACAAAAACCAATTTATGAATTAATATTTCACTAGCTCTAGTAACTATAGCCCGCGTACAGTTGCCGCAGGCCTGCGGCAACTGTACGCGGGCTATGCCGCTATAGTTACTAGAGCTAATATTTCACCATAATAACGCATGTAGTAGGCCTATGATCGATATCCCATCTGCATCATAGCAATCCGATTTGCATCACCTCATCGGAAATTTCCATGGACAATTCGCGATACTGCATTGCAGTCAATTTTCACACTTGAATTAACATTTACATCTAAGCTCAGCCAACATCAATTCTAAAATAATTAGTCCTCTCCCGATTCAGTTGCCTCGATGCCAATTTTGGATACTGCAACGTACTACAACAGAAACAGAAACAGAAACAGAAACTTGTGCGGCCCGCTCTAACTCACGGCAGCGTATTTCGCTCGCGATCTCATACGCACGGCTGATCGCTTTCGTTCGAACGAACGTTCGTTTTCCCAATATAAACACATGCTTACCGATCGCCGCGAGAATCTCACAGAGCAGCACACAAAAGAACTCTATATGTTAAAATTTAATAGGGACATCGAGGGGCGCCTACAATGAGGTAAGTAAATAGTTAATAGTATGCTTTAAGTTTTTTTTGAAAGTCGGAAAATTGCCAAATTTACAACGCGGAGAAAAGCAGAATTTTGGATATGTAAAGCAGAAAATTTTGGACTCTAGTCTATAGCCTCGCTGACTACTTCATGTAACACGTACAAAACACATGTTACACAGCTATGGCAGTTTATTGCTGTGGATATCAGCCAATTTCCAGAGGCACAATGAAACCAAGGTAGAACAGTGCTGTAGTGATATTTGAACCCTGCATGTTAAAGTGTCCTCTCCGTCTGCATTGCATTTCGTGTTAACTTGCTGCTCGAGCATTACAACTGCAAACCTTAGAAAAGCAAATTACGTGTGTACCTTGAAATTAGTTTGAGCTTACCAGGGGTCGACCTTTTAAGGATGAAAAAATGGTACATATAAACTTTAAATCAATGACTAAATGAGAGACGTCACTATCATTTTTAATGTTTCACGGTGGTGTTAACAACCAAGCAATCATATGATAGGACTATTTAGTATGGTCTCTCCATACAAACACCATACAGTGTTTCCCCTGGCCAAAAAAGCCTGTGAGGTGGTAAATATTTTTTGGTGTGTATGTACGTTTCGAGGTCCTAGAAAAGCGAGCACCGCAGGTACTTACTGTCAAAACTTTTGAAAAAATGGTGCAATTTGGTACATTGTAAACTATTCTGAACACATTGTATGAGATTTTCGTCAGCAAGACGGTGTTTTGGACAAATTTCTGTGTGGCGGCTGAGAATTTGAGTGAGGCGGGATGCCTCGCTCCTGTCAATGCAGGGGATACACTGCTATACACTCGACAATACATTATCTCCAGAGTAACGTTGATTTAGTTGCCAAAACATTAGTAATTATAATCATCACAAGGTAATGGCAAAATAATGTGCCTCCATTCCCAACCAGTGTGTTAGCCAGAGACCAGTCTACTCGTCTTTTGAACGGCCTATTCTTGGATGAGACAGATGAAATTTGATAGAGACGGCATGAGGGCGGCCCCATTTTACCAGTAAAATCATATCAGATTCCTGTCTTTTTGGCATTTCAGACAAAATTTCCTCAATTTTAAGGTAAGGTTTTAAAAAGTTTCCACACCGTAGGAGAGGGAAAACCCCTCCCACACCTTCCCCCCTAGGGCGCTTAATGCCTGCAGCATCCTCGCTTTTCTCAGATGGTGAGACTCCCTGATTTTTTTTTCCTGGCTAACACCTTGTTCCCAATCCAGGCAGCAAATCTTACCTCTGCCTGGTAGAACTGGTAGGCAACAACGAGCTTCGTGAGATGCTCCAGCTCACGCATCACCTTCTGATACTCAAGGTAAGCCGACCGCTCCTCCTTCAACTTCATCAGAGTTGGAGTTATCTCCTCTGTGAGAATCTATAACACAGCACAGAAAGAACAATGCATGCACGTCTCTCCTTCGTCACAGCTAGAGGAAATGTGTATCATAGAACACAAAGAGTGATTCATGTGTCTTTCCTATGTGACACAAAGAGGGAATGTGTAGCACACACAGAGACAGTGAGCCATGCATGCCTCTCTCACCTTACATGTTAAGGGAGTGTGTACGACAGTACAGAAAGATTGACACATGCATGTCTTTCTTATATTACTGCTAAAGAGTGTTTAACTGCGTTACACAACATATAGTGATGCACACAGTTTATCATCTTCTGATGTACCGTGTCTATTTCCTTCAGCTTAGCATCCTTTTTCTCAATTATCTTGTGAGCTCCGGCTTTCTTAGCTTCATACATCCTGGTTCCTGCGGCTTCCTCTATCATTGATAAAATCTAGACGCAGAAAATTAAATGTTAGAGACAAGGCAGATATCTAATATGAATCAATTTACCATTGCAATCCAGTATGCAGTGAACATCCTTGAAAGCCTAATAGTTGCAGTTAGACAAAGTTGTAATTTTGTGCTTTTCTATGGATTTCATATTCACGATTATTTTGGCAAGCAAAAGCAAGAACATAGTACCACATTTTGCAATTTTAACAGTTAAAAACTTAATATGCTGTAATGAATATGAATGCATGTTGTTAAGGAAAGTATTATTGAAAGAAATGCCAACAAACCAATAACGCGGGTTTTGACGGTGAGTTCAGGCTTTCCGGCAGTCCTTGACAACATTTTAGGGCTAATTTTAGGGAGAAATTAAGGTTTTTTTAGGGCTAAATTTTAGGAATTTTTAGGGATGAATCGAAACATTTTAGGGATAAAATAAGTCACTTACCTTTCATAAACATCAACGTGTTAACTTACAGATACAGTTCTATGTGGTATGTGTCCAGTCTACCAGCTATTCCTATCCTCCAAGTCCTCGATACGACTGTACATCATCAAGTTTCATGCAAATTAAGCATGTCTTGTACATCCAGCCAGGAACAGGGTCGTATAATCAGACACTGAAGCTTAAACCATGTGCTCCATTATACCAGGAGTCTGATTATATCCTCATAATATCATATCCCACTCACACAGGGCAAGGGCATTAATAAACACAGCACTGATGTGGTACTTTGTCACTTTCACACATCATACAGCCAAGAAAAATCATCATACATCATCCATCATACATCATACAGCCAACAAAAATACGCAAAACTGATTTCATATTTTCGATGTTTTTAGCCTATAATCAAACTCTAATTGAAGAACGTGTTTAGCGGTCTGACAATATAGTGTAAACGTACCGTCACTGGTTAGCACAAATTCAAGAAAACGATCACAAATTTTTAAACAAAGTTTCACGAAAAAGATTTTCCACACACAAAAAAACGGTCACAAGCATATATCATGAACAAAATACCGCGTACATAAAACAACCATAAACATACATACATACATACATGCATACATACAATGTCAGGTAAGCTTGTGAAACAACTGTATCGACCTTCATTATTATAAATATTGTTCCACTCCTCAAGTAGCCTATAAGCATCTCAACAACTTAACATGCACCTTTTTGATAAGGGATAAGACACATGGTGCATGTGTATACCGGCAAAGTGCTTGAGTATTTCACTATCACCTTGTATATTATACGCTGTGGTTTGAAACTATCGTTTTTAACTTTACTTACGATTATATGCCGACACAGTTTGTTTCACTCACCCATTTAAGTATTTCCATCTCGTTTATCTCTTGCGTTCTTGTTCCGTTCTTCCTTGCTTCGTCACTTCTCCTCTCCGTTGACAATCCTTGCCGACGCGGCGGCCGCAACGGTCCTCCTTCTCCACGATCTCCAGCCAATCCTTGTCGCCATCGTCATCGTCGTCGCTAGCGCAGCCTGGCTCCCATCTCATCATCAGAACTCGCTCTTTCCGTCCCTCTTTCCCTCTCTCGCTCTCCGTCATTCTTCATCTGTTTCGTTGCTGGCCCATAGATCGATATAGTGTTTCGGCTAGACTCTCTCCCATCTCGTCATCGGAACGCGCTCTTTCCGTCCTTCTCTCCCTCTCTCGCTCTCCGTCATTCTTCCTCTGTTTCGTTACTGGCTCGTAGATCGATATAATAAAGTATAACTTGCGTTGTGTCCGCAAAGGGATACCAGGGTCTCCAACCCTGTGAACTCCAAATGCGGAATAAAATTGATTGACAGCGGGAGGGGGGGGGAAATTAACCTTGGCTGCCACTGGCAGGCCCGCGTGTCGTAGGCATGCCAGTGCTAGGTGGGTGTGGGGGCATGCCCCCCAGAAAATTTTGAAATATTTAAGCCATTTTCCTGCAATATGAGGCATACTGTGGGCCATATTCTCATGTCTGATGACACTATCTCAACCCTAGACTTAACCCTACAAGTTAGGATTCAAAACAGTTTTCATAACTTTCAGAGAGCATACACAGTTAGGTTACTATAGTAATAACAGGCCCGTAGCCAG